ATATGTTATTTATGTCAATCTCTATTAGTTTTAATATTTTGGCTTTTACAGGATTCAACAAATCAATATGCTGCCAAAGTGTCCATTTTAATGTTGAACACATTGATCAGTATAAAACTATAGAAAGAAATGCTATTTTGGGGTCCTGCATAAGGTTTAAAATGGCTTCAACAGCAAAGAATTTGAGAAACCCAGGTGTAAGCGAGTCCTGCATTATACAGAGGGTTGGACTTGGTGACCTCTTGGGTTCCTCCAGTTCTCTATGATTCCATGACGGCAGTTCACTTTCTGCAAATCTACCTCAATCCAGACAGCCAGTTTTGTCTCATAGTTAAGATTAAGGCATGAGGCTAGAAACCAGGGACCATGAGTTCAAGTTCCACCGTAGGCATGAAAGCCAGCTGGGTGACTTTGGGCCAGTCACTCTCTCTCAGCCCAACTCACCTCATAGGGTTGTTGTTGTGGAGAAGATAGGAGGAGGAAGGTGCGTTGGATATGTTGCCCTCCTTGAATTATTTCTAAAAATAATAACGGCAGAATACAAATAAATAAATATCTCTTGGGAACTCTGGATTAATTAATTACATTGGGTTCATAATCTGAATTGGCTAAAATTTTAACTATCTCTCTTCCCAAGAGAAATTTATTTATTAGTATTCGACCTTTATTATTATTATTTCTGTCTCTTACCGTCAAGAGTCCCCCATTTTATATACTGGAATGAATTTGGGATATTGAATTTGCAATGATCAGGGCAGCAATTATCATCAATGCTATCTATACTGTGGCTCACGTTAAAAAGATTTGCAGACATGTCCACCTATAAGGTTGACCTTGGTCTCTCCTGCCTAACGTAGCTGGAAGTTGGGCAGCATGTACATTTAATAGATTATTATTTTTAATTGCTGTATCATTATTGACTCTGTCTTTTTTGCAGACCTGCCATGAACTTTCACGTTTTTATCTTCGGCTGAACTTACCAGTTCGGTTAATTTCAGCTCTCCTGCATTTTACTGCGTTTAATTGAAAGAACAGACTTCCTAAAACGGAAGACAATTTTTCCATCTCAATAAAACACCCACAAAAACTCTTGTAAGTTGTGTGGCTTCTTTTTTCTTGCCAAATGCCAGCTCCCATTGAGTCCAAATTCCAATCCATAAGAATGTGTCTGTGTGATACATTTAATCATGGTTGTGTACACACACACACACATACACACACACGTGTAGTTAGAAGGCATACTGCTCTTTCTTTCAAGGACAGCCTCATCATTAAATTAATGATTAATTTATTTTTATAAATTAAGCCCACTGTGTTTATAACATTAATTGTTCCTCTGTCTGCATTCATACTCACAGATTGTTCTTTAACATACCTACTTCTCTCTTATGTACATATACATACATGTGTGTGGCTGTACACATGAATACACACAAACACATGCATATACACACAGATTTGTGAAAACTTGGCCTCAGCAAATATATACGTTTGCAACACATAGGCTGAAGTCCAAAACCTTATTTAAAAAGATAATAAGTAACTAACTTAAGTTGTCCGTATTGATTTTGCTTGGCATCCTGTGTGTTCTTTTTACTTTCCTTTTTCTTTTGTGATAAATTCTTTTTTCTGTCTATAGATCTAGCTTCTTTGGATTTATAAACAAATGGAATATCTTCCCTACGTACAGGACTAAGCATCTACATAGCCACGTCTGGTATTTTAGGATCAGCACAAGTTCTCTTTTGTAACTCTTGCTTTGATTAGGGTGACCCTGGATTCTGGTGCCAGATTGGGATTGGTCTATACCAGAGGTCTCCAAACTTGGCAACTTTGAGACTTGTGGACATCAACTCCCAGAATTCTCCAGACAGCATTCCATAGTTGGCTGGAGAATTCTGGGACTTGAAGTCCACAAGTCTTAAAAGTTGCCAAGTTTGGGGACCCCTGGTCTATACTTTATATCATGTTTCTCAACCTTGGAAACTTTTAGATGTGTGGACCAGTGGTGGAATTAAATATTTTTTACTACCGGTTTGGTGGGCGTGGCTTGATGGATGTGACTTGGTGGGCATGGCTTGGTGGGCGTGGCAAGGGAAGGATACTGTAAAATCTCCATTCTCTCCCCACCCCACTAACCTGCTTTCCAGCTCCGTTCTCCTGTGCAGGGCAACAAAAGAAGACCCAGACGATCAGCTGGGACTTGGGAGGCAGAGAATAGATGGGGGTGGGGCCAACCACAGGTGGTATTTGCCGGTTCTCCAAACAACTCAAAATTTCCACTACTGGTTCTCCAGAACTGGTCAGAACCTGCTGAATACTACTTCTGGTGTGGACTTCAACTCCCAGGATTCCCCAGCCAGCATTGCCCTAAAACCTTTTAAAAATGTGTCCATGAATACTGACAGGTTGCCCAGGTTTGCTGTAGGTGCAGTTAGGTTGATCTGTCCTCATTTGCTGCGGGCACTTTGTGTGGGAGTCAAATGTAGACACAAGCCTTTTGAGGGAGTCAGAAGATCAAACAACCTTTTTCTGTTTGCCTTTGGAAGTTGTGTGGGCTTCATTACTGGAGGCTCTCAAGAAGAGATTGGACTACCATTTGTCAGAAATGGTGTAGGGTCTCCTGCTTGGGCAGGGAGTTGGACTAGATTAGGGGGCTGGACTAGATTACCTACAAAGTCCTTTCAGGGATGGGATACGACAGGGTTAACTATCGGTTCAGGATTTACGAGCTTCCCTGCACGCTGCAAGCTGTGCGCCTGTAAATCGTCATCAGCACGCTGGGTGCAGAGAAGCAGCCTTTGAAACAGCCCTCTTTTCCTGCTTTTTAAACTGCAGCTGTGCCTCGTTCGGCAGCTGAAGTTGAAAAATCAGGAAATAAAGATCAGGTAAGAGCCCGGGTGGGCAAAAACATCAGCAGACATAGAACCGGTTCTATGTCTGCTGCTCTTCAGAGCTACCGGTTCTACAGAGGTGGACAGAACTGGTAGAAACCCACCCCTGGGTCCCTTCCAACTCTGTTAATCTGTAAATCTGCTCACAGCATCTTTCCAGAAAGCTTTCTAGAGGTTGGTCCACTTTCCTCTCAGTGGAATTGGCTTCCTATTTGAGGAACAGGAAAAGAGCAGAGGTGGTCTTCAGCAGGTTCTGACCCATTCTGGAGAACCGGTAGCAGAAATTTTGAGTAGTTCGGAGAACTGGCAAATCCCACCTCTGACTGGAGATTTTACAGTATCCTTCCCCTGCCACGCCCACAGAACCGGGAGTTAAAAAAATTGAACCCCATCACTGGAAAAGGGGTACTTGGTTGGGTCATCTCATAGAATAACAGAGCTGGAAAAGACATTAGAAGTCTTCTGCTCCAATCCTCCGAGACCAGGATAGGAATCCTCAAACCATCCTAAAAAAAAAAAAAAAAAAAAAGGCCAATCTTTGTTTAAAAACCTCCAGTGATGGAGCATCCATAACTTGTTCCATTGCTCCACAGAATTCCCATTCCAGAAATTCCTCCTTGGTTCAAGTTTTTCCATTAAATTCCACCCGCCGGTTCTTGTCTTACCCTTGAGTGTTGGGAGAAAAACAATCTACACTTTCTGCGTTGGGACATCCCTTCGTGTACTGGAGGATGCTACCATTTCTCTCTACACAGGGGTGGGTTGCTAACGTTAGGGCTGGTTTGGAGAGCCACCAAATCTCACCCCCTGGCTGGCCCTACCCACCTCACCCCTCCCGGGAGTCTCCATGTGGCCCGTTTTGGATGTAAGTACAGGGCCCGCGCAGAGGCTTGGGGAGAGGGAAAAATGGGCCTCCTGGAAGTTCGGAAACGGGCCCGTTTCCAGCTTTTGGAGGATCTCTGGTGCCCGGGGAAGGCATTTTTCGCTGTCCCAGAGGCTCGAGGAAAGCCTCCGGAGCCTGGGGAAAGTGAAAACGCCCCTCCCCCGGTGGTACAGGAGGCCAACTAGGCCACGCCCACCATGGCCACACCCACCCAGCAACCAGGCCCAGAACCTGTTGCTGAAATTGTTGAAGCCCACCTCTGTCCCTTACAGCCTCTTCTTTAGCTAAAAATATCAAGTTCCTTTAACCTCATCACAGAATTTAATCTTCTGTCTCCAAGGATCCCAGTTGGTTTACATGACAACAGGCAAAGATGCAGGTAGCATCCTCCTGGAGCATCTCTTAACACAGCCAACCCTGCACCTTTCTGTAAAACAACTGAAGAAACACCCTGATGATTTATTATGAGAAAACGGGGCTCAGTTCTGACTGAAGAAGCTTCTTGGATGAGAAGCGAAACGTCAAGAAAAAACAAAGAAAGTTCCAGTTGCCTCTTGAAAAAGCACCTTTACCATGACAGGGTGACTGAGAATCTCCATAGACATTCATTCACTCATTGCATTTATATGGCCAACTAACTCCTCTAAAGTAAGCAGTTATCTACCATATGGGTAGTCAATACAGGTCTAGAAAAGATTTTTAAAACATTTATTAAAGCAACCCCCTTAATGAATCAAGTAAAGTTTAGTATTTTCTCCCTCCTGTCCTACAAGAGGTAATTGCTTTAAAGGGTCTGTATCAAATTTGAAAGAGCAGAAACCCAGAAACCCATCCTTATAGTATATTTGCTGCTCCCGTTCTATTTAGTTAGATTTTTTTTCCAGGGAAAATTATTTTTGTATCTGAATTAAGGAAAGACGCTGCCCTATCTGGGCTGCAAAAATGCAGTCAATGAAGGGATTATAAGCAACAGAAAAGGTTGTTTTTTTGCACTGCTTTGCCACCATCTAGTGGTCACCCAGATTTATGCATCCTGAAAGGCTTGTTCTAAATCCCCATGGTTACTCAAGAGGTGAAATATTTGAAACTGTTTCTTGTTTTGATGAGACCCATAACATCCACATTAGGTGTGCATTTGGTTCCCAGCCTTGCAACCCACTTTGAATCAGTTTCCTAGAACATTTTAGATGCAGCATTTCGAATAAGAAACAGAATTTGATTTAATTTCCAGATTTTCTTTTGAGACCTTTTGATACACAATCTTCCAAATTCATGTTGAAATGAAATCCACAGCAAAACGATATAAAATCTCACATTACAAAATTTTTCTTTGGCTAAAGTTTTTTTTTTTTTTTCAAATGGTAGCTGATGATTGGTGCAGGGATTATCTGTACAATTTAAGGTTTTTTTGTGTTTTTTTTTAAAAAAGGTTCATCTGTGGTGGGTTTGCTTGAGAGTGGCATGGTTCTTTATGGTGTTCGCTGACTGCCTTTGCAGGTCTTCAATGTGAGAGTTTAAAATCTGTTCGAAGTCCTTTGCTCGCCTCTCTTCCTCCTGTCGGAATTTCTCTGCTGCAGCAGCCTGGAACAAAGTATCTGGGGAAGCCTGAATGACACACACACACATACACACACACACAAAATTGGCACAATGAAGACAGGCATAATTAGGCAGCTTTTCTTATCAGTGCAGGGGCCCTGCTGAAAAAATGCTTTCAATAGTTTAGACATGCCATCTTTACAGGTGTTTTGCTGGACCCTAAAACCCCTCCAGTGATATTACGAGATCCTATACCGGTAGTCCTCAACTTATGACCACAATTGAACCCGCAATTTCTATTGCCAAGTGAGAAATTTGTTAAGTGAGTTTTGCCCCATTTTACCAGATGTAAAATTAACATCCAGTTTGCCCGAACCTGTAGTGGCCCAACCCTGCAGTAATCCTTGACTAACCTCAAGTTGATTAACAACCTTTTGAATTTACTAAGACCATAGAATAGGTGATTTAGGGCCCATAAAGCAGCACACTGGCTGTTGTAAATGCTAATGCTACACACACACACGTACACACACCAATGTGGACACGCAAACACGTGTTGTGCGCTTCACAACCGGCTGCCTTTAATAATCACTTACAGCGTTCTGCAGTCACACAACAATCTGTAACGTTTTAACCAGTTTTTGGCACAAAATGCCATTCAAATGAACAAATTTGCTTAACGACTGCAACATTCACTTAACGAGTATGGTGAAAAGCTTTAGAAAAGCACTTCTGTCTATGCTGGCTGAGGAATTCTGGGAGTTGAAGTCCACATATCCTAAAGTTACTAAGGTCGAAAAACACTGGCCTATATTCAAGTTAGTTCCTGGCATATCTATTTTCTCCCATTTTTAATGCAGAATTAAGTGAGCTCATGTGCAGGAATGAGCCATTACACATTAATCAGTAGATATAAAGTTTATATTACTTTGGATATTATCACTAAGGTGACATTTTTCGGCAGAGTAAACTTAATGCTTCCTGGAGCATCATCAAGTAAAGAAAATAGAATCCAGAGATTTCCATGATGCCAAAAGGATGCATAATATCTAAATATGAAATAAGAGAGGAGGTAAAGTAGCACATTTAAATACCTCTTTAAAAAAGCAGTTTTTTTAAAAAAAAAATCTACATAAGGCTTTAAATGTAGGCTGATTGCAAATTTAAGTATTTTCTTTTGACTATCCATTTTGACTCTTACATTGATTGCTAAGAGCAGGGACTGGCAATGTGATGTCTCTGAGCATGAATATATTCACAGTCACACACAGTTGCCTTCGTGTGAACCAATTCCCTGCTAATCCAGACTTTTTTTTTAACAGATTGACAGAGTTGGAAGGGACCTTGTAGGTCATCTAGTCCAACCCCCTGCCCAAGCAGGAGACCCTACACCATTTCTGACAGTCTCTTCTTGAAAGCTTCCAGTGATGGAGCTCCCACAACTTCTGAAGGCAAACTGTTCCATTGGTTGATTGTTCAGTCAGAAAATTTCTCCTTATTTCTAGGTTGAATCTCTCCTTGATCAGTTTCCACATCTTTTTATAGTGTGGTGACCAAAACTGGATGCAGTATTCTAGGTGTGACTTGAAGGTTTTAAATAAATACATGTGCAACTGGAATGTTACACAGTAGATTCCATAGGGCACTTCTTATAAAATAGGAAAGGTGAGGTAAATTCAGGTAATCCTCAAGTTTGGAGTCTGCCCACCATGGTCCTAACTCATGACTATCGTAAAGCAGGTTCTCACGTGAGCAATCTGATTGTATGATCTTTTTTGTGGAAGTTGTTAAGCGAACACTGTGGTAGTTAAGTGAACCAATGGCTTGCTATGGGCCCAGTTTTGCCAAAAACTGAACGCAAATGCCACTTTGGGACAAAACTGTCCTAAATCATGATCATGTGACTGTAGGACAGCACAAATGGATGTAAATGTGGCCCAGGTACCAAGTGCCCGAAGTGCAGTAATGTGACTGTGGGAGGAAGTGGCCCTCAGAGCTTTGAATCTGGGTTGTAAGAACTCCTTAGATAGGGCCAATGGTCCTAGCAAAGGGTGGGTAGGCCCACCGGTCATAAGTCGAGGACTATCTGTTTTGAGTTTCGAAGTGTGTGAACCTACCTAAAAAAAAACAATCAAAGAGAAGAACTTTTGAAGGTGAAGTTGAAGAATATCTTGGAGGGAACACAAGGAGGGAACAATGCCGTCAAATTGACAGGTTGATTAATGGAGCTAGTGGGACTGAGATGTCTACCACTGCTGTCATTTGTGAATACGCACATTCCTGACACCTGTCACTTTTGTCGGAGGACCCACAACAGACTCTTTAAAAGGTTATGTCATGCCTACTCGCTGAAAACTGTTTGTCATCTCTTGGCTCCCTGAGTGAATATTGGCTACTCTTCTTATGAAGCAAAATAATAATTTACCATCTGTCTTTCTTCCATAATGAAGACCTGGTTCAGCAGTACATCAGATTTATTCCTTTCAGGAAAGGAAGTGGAGTAAAATGGTGGGAGCACCTCCAGCGGGGATGGAGATCTACCATCCGCGACGGGTTCACGATCTCGGCTTGATCTTTTGGGAGGTGAAGTGCCATTGCTTTCAAGAGTAATAATATCCTGTAGGCCCTGCCAGCCAGGAACATGCATTTGGCAGCATCCCAAATGTTCATATATTGCAGACTGAGATGAATTCTGCACAGGCCTAAAAGAGCAAAAACGTTTACAAGGTTATGGTGATCAGTCAGAGCTTCGAAATGTTCCTAAAACGCAAAATATATGGTGCGAAACTGTCCATCCAGGCAACCTCCATGTGGCAGGGAAAAAAAAAGGAACTGTCTATGCTCTTAAGATATTACTTTTATATAAAATATATCAAACACAGGTAATCCTCGACTTATATCCATTCGTTTAGTGACCATTTGAAGTTACAATGCCACGGGAAATGACTTATGACCAGTTTTTCACACTTAGGACCATTGCAGCATCCCATGGTGATGTGATCAAAATTTGAGCTATTGACAACTGGCATGTACACGTAGTCCTCGACTTATAATGGTTCATTTAGTGACAGTTTGACGTTACACTGGCACTGAAAAAAATGACATGTGACTATTGTTCATACTTACGACTGTTGCAACATCCCGGTGGTCACGTGAACAAAATTCAGATGCTTGGCAACTGGTTGATGGCTGAAGTGTCGTCATGTGATTCCCTTTTGTGACCAATGTCAATGGGGAATCTAGATTGATTTAACCAGATTACTAACTTAACAACTATAAGTCATAAATCGAGACGTACCAGGAAAGACTAGCTCCTCCAACTGCACCTAAAAACATATCGACAATCAGTGTAATTGAGGCCTATCTGTATTTGTGACAGGGCAGGGGTCTCCAACCTTGGCAACTTTAGGACTTGTGGACTTCAACTCCCAGAGTTCCTCAGCCAGCTTCAAATTCTGGGAGTTGCCAAGGTTGGAGACCTCTGGTCCAGGGATCATGTGATTACCGTTTGTGACCTTCCCAACTGGCTTGTAATAAGTAAAGTTAAGGGGGGGGGGAGCCAGAGATGGTATTCAGCCAGTTCTGACAGGTTCTGGAGAACCGGTAGCGGAAATTTTGAGTAGTTTGGAGAACCGCCAAATACCACCTCTGACTGGCCCCGCCCCCATCTCTTCTCTGCCTCCTGAGTCCCAGCTGATTGGCTGGGTCTTCTTTTGTTGCCCTGCACAGGAGAACGGAGCTGGAAAGCAGGTCAATGGGGTGGGGAGGGAATGGGGATTTTACAGTATCCTTCCCCTGCCACGCCCACCAAGCCACAAGATGCCCACCAAGCCACAAGATGCCCACTAAGCCATTCCCACAGAACCAGTAGTAAAAAAATTTGAATACCACCACTGGGGGGAGCTGGATTCACTTAATGACCGCAGACTTCACTTAACAACTGCAGTGATTCACTTAACTACTGGGGCAAAACATAGTAAAATGGAGCACAACTCACTTGATGCCGCTTGCTTAGTGATGGAAATTTTGGGGCCCATTCTGGTCATAAGTTGAGGGCTACCTTTACACTTGAATGGAAGGTTGCTTGGAAAGTCCAACTGAACAACATCTTGATGAACAAAGACATCCTGGGACTTAATACAGGTAGTTCTCTTACAACATTTCATTTAGTGACCGTTCAGTGACAACGGCACTGAAAAAGTGACTTTATGATTGTTTTTCACACTTAACAACCATTGCAGCATCCCCATGGTCATGTGATCAATTGGTTCATATTTATGACGGTGGCTGTGTCTAGGGATCACATGATCAGCTGTGACACGCAAAGTCAGAAGCAAAGAGCTGTGGTGGCGCAGTGGTTAGAAGGCAGTACTGCAGGCTAATTCTGCCGAATGCCAGCAGTTTGATTCTCACCGGCTCAAGGTTGACTCAGCCTTCCATCCTTCCGAGGTCACTAAAATGAGGATCCAGATTGTTGGGGGCAAGATGCCGATTCTGTAAAACCACTTAGAGAGGGTTGTAAAGCACTGTGAAGCGGTCTATACGTCTAAGTGCTGTTGATATTGCTAAAATCAATGGGGAAACCAGATTCACTTAACAGCAATGTTATTCACTTAGTGAAGTGCAATGATTCACTTAACAACTGTGGCAGGGAAGGACGTAAAATGCAGCACCCCTCACTTAATAAATATTTCACTTAGCAACATAGATTTTGGGCTCAATTGTGGTCGTAAGTTGAGGACTATCTGTATTGTATTCCAGAAGTAGCCTTCCATAGCTTTTAAGTCTCAGTCCTTTTTAAGTTTGGACTCTGTCCAAATCTCCAGCATAGTTATGACAAACATCTTGAAGAAAATCATTTCTGTTTTATCACAGTGGAGCACTGCTGCATTTTGCTATCAGCCTTGGCCTTGGGAAAATGAATGGAACAATGCTCCTATCCTTTGGCTCATTTGGAGAAGTTGGCTGAAATACACGCTGATTCAATTAACACACGATGACAATGCCCAACAGAATTGGTTTGATGCGACCTCCTCGGGGTCCCTTCTAGGAGTTACGCCTGTGGATTAAAGCTCTGGGAAAGCGGAGGGATGCCCATTAGCGAGACTTTGCTTTGGATAATAAGTCTGTTGTTTTTAATTAGATCGGGGCCTTGCTTGCATCCCACCGAACCAGACACGAAGAGCCCCACATGGTAACCCATCACATCGTCAGACATCCTGTGATTGGCCTGACAGAGACTTCACAACACCAAGAGCTTTACAGACTGCCATGCATTATTTATTTTATTTATTTATTGGATTTATATTGCCGCCTATTCACCCATGGCGACTCGAGGCAGCTTACAGAACGTAAAACCATCCAAAATAAAAAAAATAAAAAACTAACAAAAAGAATCAAATAAATTAATAAAGTACAATAGAACAATCTCTGGGGAAAAAAAAATCAACCCCCAACTCCCACCCCACCGCTCTGACGACAGCAGATCACACGAGCCATTTGATAGGCTCCGTCCTGCTCTGAGTTCCCTAGGCCCGCTGGCAGAACCAGGTCTTCAGTGCCTTCCGGAAGAGGATTAGAGAGGGGGCCATTCTAATCTCTGGGGGAAATGATGTTCCAGAGAGAGGGAGCCACCAAGGAGAAGGCCCTTCTTCTGGTCCCACCAGGTGTACCTCCCTCAGGGATGGGACCCACAACATTCCTTGCCTCCCCGCTCTAATGGGTCGGGTAGATGTGACCGGCAAGAGACGTTCCCTCAGATAATCCGGTCCCAAGCCATGAAGGGCTTTAAAGATGACAACCGGCACCTTGAACTGCACCTGGAAGCAAATCGGCAACCAATGCAGATCCTGCAGGAGAGGTGAAACATGTGCACACTGGGGTCTGAACAAAACCATGCTGCATATATGATTATTTTATTATATTTTATTATTATTATTATTACATTATTACTGACTACGCTCACTTAGTGAAGAGATAATACAGATATTGATAGAACTTGGTATAAGAGCTCCTGCTTGAGCAGGGAATTAGAACTGGAAGATCTTTAAGGTCTCTTCCAACCCTATTATTCTAAAATTATAGAATAATAGGGTTGGAAGAGACTTTGGAGGTCTTCTGGTCCAATTCCCTGCCCAAGCAGGAGACCTTTTACCATTCCAGACAAACGGCTATTCAGTCTCTTCTTGGAAACCTCCAGTGTTGAAGCACTCACAGTTTCTGGAGGCAAGTTGTTTCACTGATTCCCACTGAAAGGAAATTTATCCTCAGTTCTAGGTTGGATTTCTCTCTAATGATCTTTCACCTATTACTTTTTGTCCTGCCTGATAGGACTATAGGATAGGATAGGACAGGACAGGAGTCCTGATAAAGTCTCTCCAAAACATTTAAAGAGCCCATCAAAAGTTTAAAAAACAACAACATTTAAAATGTTTTTTTTTTAAATGTTCCTTATAATATGATTGGTCTTTTTCAGTTCTGAATGGAAGCAAAAACTGAGGAAAAAAAACAATCCTTTAACAGTCTAGCAAACGCCAAACCCACTTTACTTGGCAAACTCAGGAAGGAGTCGCAAATGATTAGAGAGAGAATTATTAATGTTGGCAATATATGGACTGATGTCTGTTAGTGTGCTTTGACAATAACTGGCAATGCGATGTTTGTTTCCTCCTGCTTCGCAGGACTTTCCCTCATGAGCGAGCATGTCTCTCTTCATTTTGTAGGGGAGGCTGATCTTATTTGAACTTTAAAAAAAGGAGAAGCAGGTCATAGGTGATAAATCTTAGTAAAAGGAAATTGGAGGTTGGATATTTTAACATAGATAGTGTCTGTATAGGAGAATATTCGCAGCTGAGGGTTGAACTGTGGGGTCCTTGGGGACTCTCTGAGCTTGGTTGTTTCCTTGCAGACATTTCATTATCCAAAGTAGGTAACACCATCAGTGTTCGTCTGTCAAGGGTCTATGATAATTCACCATGGCCAACTCCCCAGAATCAGCTTGCCACAGTCAATTCATCATGGCTATCTCGCCACAGGACAACTCACTGTGGGGCAAGAGTTACACTAATATCAAAGAAATGGCGGACTGGGATCATTAAAGAAAGGATGCAAAAGGAGGGACGGAATAAAATGCAAATGGCAAAAATTAAAATATTTTTTATTTATTTTAAATAATTGAATATAATTGTTATATTGTACCCCAGCGAGTTGTCCCATGGCGAGCTGGCCATGGTGAGTTGTCTCACAGCAAGTTGGCCGTAATGAGTTGGCTGTGACAAGTTGGCTGCAGCAAGTTGGCTATGTCAAATTGTCCCATTCCCATGTTAACAACCCATAATCCCCTGCGGGGTGGAGTCTGGGCAAATGAAGGGAGCCGAGTGTTTACTGGCCGGATGCCCTTCCTGTTGCCAATGCAGAGTTTGTTCAGCAGATATATTCTCATTGTGCCCAGAGAGAGAAATATCTGCCCCTACCTAGGATCGAACTCACAACCTCCAGATTGTGAGGAGAGAGCTCCACCTCTAGGCCACCGCACCGCTCTAGTTTGGTAATGAAACGTTTGCAAGAAAACAACCAAGCTCAGAGAACACCAAGGACCCCTTCCGAAACCTCTTCTGTACTATTTGTTTATGTTTTTCTTTTAAGTGTGCACGTTGAATCTCTGGGTGGATTTGATCTGTTTAAATATCTGTTTAAAAGATAG